AGTCCCACTTACGGCCAACACGCGTAGATCGAGACGCCCCCACTCGCATGCACACACACACACCCGTGTGTTGTCACGATGCCCAGTCCCACTTACGGCCAACACGCGTAGATCGAGACGCCCCCACTCGCATGCACATCTTGCCGCCTTCCGTGTGTCATATTTGTCGGCCCCCTTCTCGTGCGTGATACGTCCTGCCTAGATTAATACGCCCCAGCTGCTCCCATGGCGCCTATTGCCATCCTCGCGGCCATCTTGTTCTGCAATGCCGCAGCCTCAATTGTGGAAGAGATGGCGGCGGGACACGAGGCCCATGTCACCAACAACAAGTCCACGTGCCCTCACAGCTTCGTCGAGGACACGCAGACGCTCACCAAGGAGAGTGACCTGGTGTCCGACGCGGTGCAGGGGGCGGTGATCGGCGGGATCATCGGTGGCAAGGACGGTGCGGCTGGCGCGGTGGGAGGAGCGATGCACGGCACTGGAGGAGCGATGTATGGCGGACTGATGGGTGCCAGCGGCACGGCGGTGCAGGCACACAGCCTGCATAATGAGACCGCATACGACTTGGTGGTGATAGGCGGCGGATCTGGAGGCATGGCCGCGGCAAAGGAGGCTGCCAAGCTTGGGGCGAGAGTGGCACTCTTTGACTATGTCAAGGTGAGTGAGTGAGTGAGTGAGTGAGTGAGCCCGCACCACCATGGAGAGACAACGACTGATTGTCATATCACTGCCTGAGTGTTGTATCTCTGTGTGTGTGCGTGTGTGATGCAGCCATCGCCACAAGGGACGACATGGGGGATAGGCGGGACGTGCCTCAATGTAGGGTGCATCCCCAAGAAGCTCATGCACTACGCAGCGCTCATCGGAGCATCATTCTATGTCAGCACACGAAGACAAACACCACTGCCACTACTGTTGCTCTACTGCTGCCTTTCTCCTATGTTTATCGCACATCAATCAGGACGCCCGCACCTGGGTTGGCAGCTGCCTAATGTGCGTGGCCAGGGGCACAGCGGCATTGCGCATGACTGGGGACAGCTGGTGAAGTTCGTCCGAAACAAAGTAAGGCAGCTGCGCTTCTCGTACGGTAATGCCCTCAGATCGTACGGTAATTCCCTCACGGTGAGTGGCGCACACACACATTCACCACGCACCCACTGGTGTGATTGACTGCTCATTCTGCGCAGTATGTGAATGCGCTTGCCCGTTTTGGGTCGGCTGGTGTGATCGAGTACGACAATCCCTCAAGCGGCGAGACGCAGAAGCTCACCGCAGACAAGGTCCTTATCGCTGTCGGTGGCAGACCTAACATACCGGAGGTGCATACAGAGTCTGCTTGAGGGACGGAGGATGAACGTGTCTGTCTGTCCAGGACATCCCTGGTGCAGTGGAGCACGGCATCACTTCAGACGACATTTTCACC